GCCAAAACCTGTGACAAAGGCCAAGTAAGATGAATCTGAGAAAAGCCACTAGTTTTGGTGATCACATGGTGATTGGTTCCAGACAGAAGAAGGAAGGAATGCAAAACAATTACCGTTGAAAAAGCAGAGGATAGATACTATTAACTTGTGCCAATACCATTCTTGATATTTTTAACCTCCCACACTGTTCTGTTAAATCCACTAATGTTATCATCTCATTCCATATGGCAATGGATGGACTCAGATTAGAGGAAACAAAATTTTTGCCAGAAACAAATCTCTTCCAAAAATGTTATGTGTTCATGATGACAAACCAAATGGAAAAGATCAGTAAGACCAAGTGTAGTGAAGTATCCAACATCTTTAAATAAGGATTTCAATGTCTCAGATTTCTTTCAGGTCTTTTAGATAAGTAAATTTTAGGAAAATGTGAAATCACTAGTGAAATTTTAGTTGAATGCTGAATTCTACTAGCAAGGAAATAATGCTGAGAAAAGAATTACAGTGTATGTTTGTACTAGAAGCGATAATGGAAATCTCTGTTGTGTCTTTAAATACATAAGTCAAAAAATGCTGAAGTAAAAGAACTTTGCAGAACATGAACATTCTCCTATTTAAAAATTTTCAAACCTCTATTGAAGAACTGAAGTGAGGGCCAGCCTGTGGCCTTGCAGTGTGAAGCCTGCCCCATCTCCCCCATAGGAATTCATTAGTTCTGTAAAGAAACTCTGTATCCCTAGATACTTTACACAAAGTAGGCCGTCAATGATATTTATGTAATTAATTTAAAAATAAATAAGTATGTTCATATTTGAGGACCTTATTAAGGAGTGGAATTAGTTTTAAATGCTGGTTTTTGTATAAAATGATACTTATCACTAGGATTCAGATGTGTAGAATTAGGAAGAAAGTTCATTTCCAACGATGTAGGCACTATAGGTTAAAAAAAAAGTTCTGTATTTGAAAATATGATTTATGACTTGGAAATGTAATTAAAACAGGTCTTTTTCTCTTTGGAAAAGTAAATGTGCTATATAATGGGATTGAAGTATGGGACTGTAGGTGGATAATAATAGAAAACATTCTAAATATTGGTTAATTGTTAAAGTTAGATGGCAGCTTACTAGATTTAGGAAATGTTTTTAAGAAAATTGTTTAATAGGGATAATTTGAGTAAAAGAAAACACTATACACCAAGATCACCCACTCTGATCCACTGGACTTGTCATAAATTGAAGCTCATTTGCCAGGACACTCTTAGAACAAGCTCTTTTCATGAAGAAATGTTGCTTTTTGCCGAAGTCCTGCCTGATTGCTCTCCAGGTATATTCAGGAAAGTGGTCACAGGGCAGACTGAACTTAGATTTATGAACGAAAAATTACATTATCAGAATTGTCAGTAAGATTAATCAACAGCATCATGTACGATGATTTGCAGTGATAAAAATCTTAAAATTGGAAAATTAATATTAGATTTAAGCCCTGACAAGTGTTGTAGCAGTAGGATGTAGACGAGGGAATAATGGAAAGGTAATTATATGGATCAGTGATGGGTTTGGAAACTTGATGGATAGACTGGGAAAGGAAGGGGTCAAAGATGTTCCGATTGACTAGTTAATAATTTTTGACCCTGATTTACTACATAGAAAATCATTCAGCATGATGGGAATTTATTGTAATGAAATGTGAGATTAAGTTCACAGAGTGGTATTCAGGTTGAAACTCCTCATTGGAGCTGGGAAAGACTTAAAAGTTAACAGATGGTTTTAGGAGTCCTAGACTGAGAGAGTAGAGGGGAGACGAGGGCTGGAACCACATTCTATTACTGATCATGCCTTTTCTCAATATTCAGTGTCCTTGATTTCCTAGCAATGTGAGATACCATCTCTTCCTCTACATGGTGAAATCTGCAAAATGTCCTCAGCTCCTTTGGATCTCCATCTGTACACCCCAGGCTGCCCACCCAGTCATGCATATTTAATCATCATCGAAGCACTCACCTATGCCTCCCTAGTGCCACCACTAAATCAATGCTACTTTTTTTTCTCTAAATATTAATAAATTCATGATGTATTTAGTTCTAGTACAGCTCAATCTGACATCAGAGAAAGAGAAAAATGATCACTAAAAAATTAAGGGATAAGACAAATTCATAGCATAAAATTATGCTTTGCCTTGTGTCCCATGCCCCTAGTTAGCTTGAGGAGTGAAAGAAGGAAGTTTGTCTTTGGCTTAGACAAATAACAGGCCAATAACAGCAGTCATCCATCAAAGATCTTAGAAAAGAAAACTAGATAAGTCATATGCAAATCCTAACAACCTTGCCATTTCCCACTGGGCACACCCAATTATGGATCTCAATATCATATTCTCAGGGGTCTCATCATTTTATTCTGTGTACTTTCTTTAATATGGGCTTAAGAGGACCAACAGGTGGAGTAATGCGATGTCCCACATGGCTGACAACTCTTCAAGTCCCAGATCTGGTGGCTTGAAACTCACAGTGGGTGCTTGTGTGTGCATGCCCAAAATCCTGAGAGGAGAATGGAGAAGGGTTTGAAGCATGACCATCCCCTGGGGATGATTTCTCACTTTCTCTCTCTCTGCCACTCTCTGTCTCTCTGGTGAGTGAACACGCCCTATAGCAAAAAAAGAAAAAAAAACTCTCTTAAAAATTATATTATACACACACACACACACACACACCACACACATATATATATAAAATCTTAAGATACCCATAGCTTTGTCCTCTACAGGATGATTGTCATACCTCAGAAAGGAGACTTGTCTCCAGATTCCTATCTCACAATAGGATGAGCTAATTCTGATAGTCTCCAAATTACCTACACGGGTTGTTCTGATTAAGCACCCTTGACATTGAGGCTAATAAATTAGAGAACGTGATATAATGAGCATGTACAAAAAATGAGTCATAGTTTACCTATTCTTCTCTTTGTCTTCTCCCTAAATCCCAACTGAGGATAATGTTAATCCTATCATCTGGACATTCTTCTCAATTAGGTAGGGATTATGAATATGTTAGAAGAAACTCCCTTTGCTCCTATGCTTGGCGACTGGTGAGCCCCAGTCTCAATTCAAACAGGAAATTCCAGGAATCAAGTCACTCACATGCCATCATCAGAACAAGCAACAGCAGTGGTCCGAGTTGATCTCCAAGTCCGTTCCTGACTAGTACTCCCACCCATTCTTAACGGAGGGCATGGCAGCCTTCAAATTTGCTACATTAGAAACAGAGCCTTACTTCTGCTACCTCAGTAAGTGAAGGCTAATTTTTCATTTGTTAGCATTTTTGAGGATACCGTTTGTGAAGTACAAGCTTAACTTGTATGCTTTTTCTTGTAACTTGCCAGAGGGCACGTGCACTTGCCAGAGAGAGAGAAGGAAAGTGAAAAATCTTCTATGAGGGATGATTATGCTTCAGTCCCTTTGTCTCCATTTCTCCCTCCTTTTGGTATTTTGACCAGACATGCATATGCACCAGCATGTTTCTCAAGGTCCAGACCACGTATTCGGCCATGTGGGATCCAGCTGCCTAACTGCCATGCCACCTGGTGGCCTGCGTTTTATAAGTTCATTTATTTCTTTTATGAGTGAGAGAGACAGAACCGCCACCAGGGTCTCCATGCTCTCTCTATCCCCGGCTTTCGTCCACTCTGGATCATGGCAAGTGAATGCCTGGCATCCTCAGGGAGGTTTCCAGGCTTGAAACAGGAACCTTCCCAGGCGGGATTGCCTGGTGGAGTATTGTGTCTTTACTGCTGTGCCACTGTCTTGACCTTTAACTTGCATTCTGTTTTTCTTTATTTATTTTTAATTGTCAGAAGGTGACTGTGCTCTCCAGAGAGAGACAGGGAAAGAGAGAGGGATGGGGAGAAAGCACCCCTCCATGGAGTGTGGTCACAGACTCAATCCCTTCTGTTTCATTTCTTCCTTCTGTTGGGATTTTGGGCAAGAACGTGCTGGGGTCCAGAGTGCTTTTATTTCAAGCTGCTGAGCCAGGATTTAAACCATGGCTGGCCATGTGGGATTTGGTTTCCTTAAGTGCTAGGCTGTGAGCCGGCCCTTAACTCATTTTCTTAAGAAACACCCTCCAAATTTAAACAAATTTGACATGCTCTCATGCCACTTTTTTTTTTTTTGTAATTTATAGATGCTTAGTTTCAAACTGGTATGGCTGGCACAACTTAACAGGCAGATGGAGAAATAAAATTAAGATGTTAACACGCTAGAAACTACTGGATGTGAAAGGCCTCAATTAGTCTGTTCAGGCTGCTATGGCCAAGAACTGTAGGCTGGGTGGCTTATACACAAATAATGTTTATTTATTGCAGTTCTGAAGGCTGAGTCCAAGATCAAGGTGCCAACAGACCTCGTGTCTCCCGAGGGCCCATTTCTGGAACATACATGGAGTGTAGGGGGAAAGACAAGGGCCTCTGTTGTAAGGGCAGTAGCCCCCTTCACGAGGGCTCTACTCCCATGACCTACTCTCCTCCCCAAAGCTCCTCTTACACTGTCACCTTCAGGAGTAGGAACTTTGAGGATATGTGAGCATTCAGATATCAGCAAGTCCTATGTCCACTTTTTGTTCTTATATATAAGAATATTTAAAAGCAAATCTTCTAAGTGTTAACGATATATTATGTGATTTTTTTCTTTACGTTTTTATTGCGTGTGTTTCTTGTGTCATCTCAAATGCTTTTCACAAACATGTACAAAGAGGAAATACACATTTAATGTGTGAAAGTATAAATTATTAACTCTTAGGTGTTTTAATTGATGACGAAAACTTGTCGACAATGAAAGGGATAGTTTAAAAATGCATTTTTAAGTCATGACACACAAATAGCTAAGAACCGTACAAAAAAGAATATGTGGCTTTAGAAATATTTTTTCACACATGTCGAGAATACTTACCTAGCCAAAATGCCTAAAATATAGAATGTTCACCGATTTTTCTATCTCAAATTTCTGTGCAGAAAGAACGAGAGAGAGGTTCTAATTTGGCCTTTATGTTTCGGCTGCCTTTTGCTGCTGGGAGGGTGTTCAGCATCAGTATGTTAGACACACTTCTGTATCAGGTAGGACTGCAACTTTTCTTCTCTCTGAAATGGTTATGTTACATTTTATTTAGATTTTGTTGAAATGAATATACATTGAGTGTTTTTCATGGACGTGTTCACTTAAAACTGGATCGGGAAGTAATTCAATATTTTATTTCATGTATTTAATGACTTAAATGCCCCCTACCATATTGAGTAAGAAAAATACTACTTCAAAAATAATCTATGGAAACTTTTCTCTAAAGCCAGCTTCTGCCGTGTTTATTGGGACATTTTAATACATTTTGCATATTACTCCAAGCATATTACTGGATTTAAAAAAGATAAGAAGAAAAACTACTGGGTGGAAAAAATAAGACAAAATTCTTCATAGTGTACATTTTTTTCAGGTGTGACATTAAATGCTAAGTTGATGTCAGCTAATGGGTAAACCAAGGACATTTTAAGTATCTATCAACTTTGACTGTTTTGGAAAATATAGAAAAGATTTTACAATAATAGAACCACTTAGTTTGTTTCTGAATGCAAAATCAACATTATCATTTCATCATAACTAAGAGATTCATAGGGATGTTCTTGCCACAAATATAATCTTTCCTGTCTCTGCCAAAAAAACGAACAGCAGTAATATTTCATTTCTCTGATTCGAGTAATTAGACAACCTCTAAATACTTCCCTAAGAGAAAAGAGATAGTCATAGAGCTTTAACTTATTTGATAACACTAATCTTAGATTAAGCATTTAAGCATTTTATTGTGACTATTCTTTTTGACTTTATATTTATGAACCCTCCTCTGTAATTACTTGACTGAAAATACTAATCCGAAGATGGTTAAAGCTTGTCTGCTGGCCTATGGGCTAATTTTGCCCACGAGTATGCCTCGAGCAATGTCAGGAACCATCTGCTTACGCCAGATGCATGCCGAAGCAAACAGCAAAGAGAAATGAGCATTCTCTTTGCCCCCAAGTTTCTAAATACATTATCTGGGTCCTCCAGGAACCAGGGCTGCCCACTCCGTCACCCTTCCCACACGTGTACTTCTAATGATTTAGTGAGAGGATGGAGGGCAGGGCTTGTTGGAAGAGCCATGTTGAAACTGAAGATTTTATATCAATAGCAGCCACATGCTTGGGGCTTATTATGCACCAGTGGTTGGCAGATAATTTTTTAGCCACAATATCGTATGTTTAAATAAAATCTCGTGAGGAAATCGAATGCATAAATTAAGAACAAGAAATGCTGTTTTATGGAAGTGAAAAGCAGTAGTTTTTTTTCTCTCTCTCTTCATTTTTTGCTTCACATTTTATATTCTTGATAGAGATATAGGAAGTTGGGTGTTTTTTGAAGGTTCTACAGAAAATGAACTAGGATTATTGTTTGTTTTTTAGTTTTGCTATAGGATGTGTGCTCACTGAAGAGAGATAGATAAAAAGAGGGAAGGAGAGAGATCACCCCCAGCCCCAGAGGATGGTCACACGGCAGTCCCTTATCCATTATCCTCTCGGGATTTTGGGGATGTACGCACACATTCCTGGTGTGTTTTTCAAGCTGCTGGGTCTAGGATTTCAATCTTGCAGTAGGACATGTGGAATCACACCACACTACCTGCTGGCCCTAGAACTATAATTTTAAAGTTCTTAAACTATAAGAGTGAATATTATATTTTGCATTTCAATCTAAAACATATCTGCATGTGTGTTTATGTATACATATGTGTGTGTGTGTATAACTGAAAAAAAAACATACACTTTACTTTTCTTTTTATAATTTGCTGTGTGCTTTCTATCTTATTGAAATATATTCTATTGCATTTTAAAACTTGCTGACCATAAGCCATAACTCTGTTTGGTGACTTGTGTTTAGAAACTCTTAATTGGAAGACTTTAGATATAGTAAAATCTAGAGAATAATTTCTCTTCAGTGGAACTTTTGATAGGTTGTTAATATTTCTCAAACCATAGCGAATGCTTTTTAATCACACATTCTTTAATGTCTTACTAATAAAATGGTCTGTCTCTAAAGACTTATTCTTGCTTTCTAACATTCCATCATGACATGCACTGTTGTCCCAAAGAGTCATGATGGTTCCATTTTTTTTAAAAAAAGCTTCATTTTAGCATGGAGTGGTGTGCAAAGAAAATATATGCAATTATTATAAATGATATGTGTAGCTTCTAAATTTATTTTACCCACATAGCTTAATTTTTTTAAAAAAATGGTTGAAATATTTTATTGCAGAATTTAAATTCCTTCAAGTTTTTATAATATCCACCATTTGATTTTGGTTTGCAGTATTTTGTTAAAAATACTAAAAGTCTTATTTTCATACGCAACAGCAGACATAAAATGTAAGTATATCAAGATATTTCTAAGCAATAGTTATTTTCTGTATTTCTTTTTGAACAGCATAACTGTGTGTGTTTACTTAGAGCATTGACAAGATCCATTTTATTTTTTTTTTAATCCAGGACTAATATATTATGAGGTAATCTTTCAGAAGTGTTCAGATATTGACTCATAGCTATCCTACTCATCCATACACACAATAAATACATATTTTGTTTACATTGCAGTCATTTGTGAAGGATTATATGATTTCTATCACCAGACTTCTGCTGGGACTGGACACGACTCCGGGATCGGGATTTCTCTGTTCGGTAAGTCAGTCATCTCTAGACCAGAAGAGTGTTCTACGGAGGCTCTAAGATCCATCTACCATGTGCTGTGGCCCGCCCCTCTGTGCCACATATTATTTTTTTCTAATGTATGTCTGAAGTGTTGCAGATGAGTTTTATTGATTGCTTGAACATTTTTATCAGAGGAAAAAATATTACTTTTAGTAATAATCGTTAGAAGTAGACATTCCGAACAGAATTCAGAAGTGTTCTTTTCCTAGCCTGCACTTTGTGACCAACAGGTTCCAACATAGACCATACTGTCCCAGAAAGCAGTAATCATGCAATCTAACTTCATTGTTTCATAGATGGTGCTTCAGCACGTTTGTGTAAACCCTGACCAGTACAATGGGTGAACTGTGTCCAGATATACTAAGTGGCGTGATTTGTTAACCATTCAGGTTTATAAGTAGCGAAGAGGGACTAGAACTCAGGCTTCCTGCCTGTCAGCCTGTGCTCATTCTACTGTCCAGCTTTCTCAGTATGGTCTTATTAGAACCTTGGACAGGATACATCTTTTTTATACTGAAGTCTCGTTATATTTTGTAGCATCAGCAGACTCTATCCACTAAATGCCAGGAGCAGCCTTCAGTGATCACAGCATTTAAAAAGTATCCACGGGTATTATAACATCTCCTAGTCAATCTACCAGTGCCCTGTGCCCTGTTGGTACTGACATTGAACTAATACAAGGTCATATTGCCCCAGATTGCGTACTTGGGTACCTTAAGTTTGAGTGAAGTCCTGGAATAAGTTAAAGTCGATGGAGTACAGGAAATAATTATTTTGAGATTTCAAAATATTAATAAATTCAATTGTTAAAGACTGAAAAATAATCACTGGGTTTTTACTTTTTCAACATTTAATATGTAAATAATTCCCACATACTCTAGATGAAAATCACTGAGGATGACTTGTGGATCAGAACTTACGCCAGACTTTATCAGAAGTTGTGTTCTTCTACTGGAGATGTTCCCATTGGAATCTACAGGACTGAATCTCAGAAACTCGCCACATCAGAGGTTTGGAAATATCAAAATACTCGTTTTGTTTTCTAGTCTGGGGAATACGGTCATTCAAAATGTTGGGAACGGATTTGTGACAAATGCTAATGGTGTAGAAAGTGAAAAAAGGATGCTACCTGAACACATAGTGTCACATCTCTGAGCAAAAATCCTTTCCAACTATTTATTTTAGCAAACTGTGGCAGAATTTCACAAAGTAGTGTTAGCTAAGAATCTATCCTAAAGTTTATGCTTGCTGGGCCCTTGTTTAGACCTAGGATTAGCCATTTCTAGATTTTTAGAAAACAAATTAATTCTAAATAACCTTGAATTTCAAACATATAAGAAAAATTCTCAGGACCTCCAACCTAGATTTCCAATGTATTCCACAACTACATTTATTAGCCCTCAG